CCACGTTTTCGATCTCCACGGTTAGGGGTATGGCAGCTACGGTGCAAGGCCGGAGGGGTGGACATTCTACAAAGTTTCTGGTATGACGAGGCTGGCTAGGACAAAGGGAATATAAGCTGAGAAAGCCTTGGTGAGCGACTGGAGGAAGCCTTCAATGGAGAAAACGATCCCTGGATGAGATGAGGAGATGCTGAGATGAGCCACAGCTGGGACTGAAAGGAAGGGAAAAGTTACAAATGGCGAAGGTCTCTAGGGCTCGGGCGCGTGGTTGCCGAGGCTGCGGAGGAATTTGCGACTCGGCGCGTCAAAAGAGGGTTTTCTGGTCGGTTAGGCTTGACATGATTGAACACAAGGGTGAAGTCTGAGGTGGTCCAATCATTCAGGCGGGCGAGGTAGATGTACTTCATGGTAGTTAAACTGATCCAGCCCGGTCCCACTCGTGCTCAAGCTCCCATAGGAGTGCGGAGGGTGCCAATTGCCTAGCACGCTAAGATGCAAACAAACATCAATATACAAGAGCCCTCATCCGTGAATACTCATCCAGAGAAAAGTCTCAAAGACTCTGAATTTTCCTGACATGCCTCCGTCATGCGTTGAATTTCTCCGCGCTAGATGTGGTCTGAAGAGTCTCCTTCAAACGTGGAGTATGTGCCCAGGAACTATTATAAAAAGGGTGGTGGTGTATATGACTGTATACACTTGGTATCTTCAATTAAATGGTTATGACTACTCAGGGGGCTTGGAATATAGTTGGGTGATTATGGCAATAAATGTTACGGGATGCGTATGGTATCTTATTGTGTTATTATGTTATGTTGTGTTACAGGTTATCCTCATGATAATTAACCAATCCCATGTGTGTCTGTGTCTTACAATAGACTAGGGACTCAAAGCACGCCTGTGTGTGTGTGTGTTTGTGTTTAGTGTGCTACTTGAGTCTATGACTATCTAGCACATTGGGCTCCTCTCTGACCCAGGTCACACCTTGTACAGTGCTCCTATCCTCTTTTATTACTTGAAAAATCATTGATATATTCCCCTTGATGAATAGCCATTCAGCTCAGTATTTACCCGTGGAATTCAGCCACCTTTTCCACGGAACCTTCTACCCAAAAAAAATAAAAATGGTAGCAATGGAAACTGCGTGCGCGGGAAAAAGTCTCAAAAAACCTGCAGGCCCAGCCAGGCGAGGCCTAGACACCGGGACCACATGAGGTGCGCATATTCATCTATATCTCCCTTCTTTGTAACAGTCGAGGCCGACTTGATCCAATCCACCATCTCCGTATCGGGTGCTGGGTACGCTCCGGAAACTCATCGGATGGCTTTTCCTCCGTGATCAAGGTTTGGTGATGAGTAGAGCTCCGACCCTGCCATATGATCTGATCGTGGTTAGCTTCATGATAGTGGTGATAGGGGAATGTGTTGAGAGATGAAGACGATACAGACGGCGAAAGCGATTTGGGATCCTCGTCGAAGTGAGGACTTTGTTACTCAATCTCGGCTCTGCAGACTCTACAGTGAGAGCTGGAGGTTCGTAGGGGACACCGCTGACAGGTGTTGAGAATAGTCCCCCAAAGCACGCCTGTAATTAGTATCACAGAATGCCTGGTAAGTCGGTATTTTTTTTTTTTTGCATCAGATTTTAATTGCGTGTGCAGCTATCTAGCTATGACACAATATCAAAGAAAAGTACAGAATAGATGATTCAACCTAAGGGAAGAGCATCCATGCCTCGGATTTCATTTGAAAGTACCACTGCGAAGTTATGGTGGCTTTTTCTTCGCCCCAAGTCAACCCTCATCCGTGAATACCCACCCAGGGGAACGTCTCAAAAACCCTGAGTTATCCAGACATGCCTCCATCATCTTTCAACTTTTCTCCGCGCGAAATATGGTCTGAGATATCTCCTTCCCAAGTGGAGTAGGTGCCCAGGCTACTCAAACTATACCGGAGAACACCACCAGGAGGCGGACCACGACACCTTCCATCGTTGGCTTGTGTTTATAGTGTCAGCTGCACTCTCGCAAGCGAAGTCTCGGCGCGCACAAAGCTCAATTCGTAAAACTCCTTGCCAAAATTCGGAATCTCACGCTCTTCGGGGTTATATCCTTCCTTTGCATCATCTTGTAAATTTGTCCTGATTCATCTCACGTCTATCCCAAAGAACTGTCTCCCAGATTTGTGCGCCACGCTTTGCTTCCTCCGTCGGGTATGAGTCGTTAAGACAGATGTAAGTTAATTGTCCCCTGTTCCGACCGAAAACTCCTAATGATGCTAATTCTAATTAATATTATATAAGAACACATGACCATGACACACTCCATATACTTCCAGATGGCGACGTAGCTAGTCTCTTTTTGGAGTGAGCTACGGGTAAGTGTAGCGATCGGTGGTATCTTCTTTATCACTAACCCTTTTTCGTTTCCCCGGCTCAACACGCTACACAATGTGGATGTCAATATACTACTGAAGCGAAAAGCGCATTCATAACAACTCAGACTATACCAGAGAACATTAACAAGAAGCGGAACGCGGCACCTTCAAATCGTTGCCTTGTGTTTTAAGTGTTAGGGGTTCTCGGTCGCCATTATTGTGACTAAAACATGCGAGGGAAGGATTTTCAATTTGATCTCGGAACTCGTCTTCCCTCTTTCCGTGAGACGGTGTTTTGCTCGAACTTGGATTTCAGAATCCTCGTGATTAACTAATACGTGAAATCTGCCGCTAAGCAGCGCAGACGGTTTACCATTGATACCCTTCATCGTTACACGTTTAGTTGTCTGGAAAGGAAATCTAGTTGTCGACAGTTGAAGATTTCATATAATATTCTGGAGGGTCTATTCCTCTAAAGACTTATTTCTCGTCATTTACAATCACGAGGTATGAAAATGGTAGAGAGGCAGCCTTGGGAATGTAAGATAGATTGGCTATGGAAGGAGAAATAGGAGTAACTACAGCGAGCTCTGTATACATGAGGTGTGGGTGTTTGCTGAGTAATGCCAAGACTAGATTGGCATTCATGTCACGTGTAGGTGTTTCATGTTCAAGCACCTACACTGCCTTGCTCATTGCATGTTTGGAGCCCAGAGGGCGTAACTTTTACAAAAAGATTTAGAATCTTATCAAAAATTTAAGATTGAAACTGTCGCAACACTATTTTGGGATGTACATGAGTCAGAAGAGAGATACCGATATGTTGATAGTTAGTTAGTGCCGGCAAAGACGAATTCTTCACCTTCCAGTGGTGCCGGTGTAATCGCTCAGTATGCTCTGCATATCTGGGATAGCCAAGAAGAATCGTATCCGAATCGAAGTCGAAAGCAAACACATGCATATCTCCATTTCACGACTTCTCAATCATGCAGCACCCACCATTATCTTCTGAGTCCTCAACCTCATTCTAACCACACATCATCTCGACTCGACGACCGATAAAGGCATCACCTCAATTGCAAACAGGAGCTTGCCTCATTCATCACCGGCCATCACTCACTACAAATTTACGACGCTGCGTATACCCGCAAGGAGGAAATTAAGTCATAATCTACAAAGTTGGGGTCTTGGTTTATGGGGGACTGCTGCTCTAATGGGGTTATACATCTTGAGGAGGGACAGGCGGCTGAGATGTGGAACGAGAGGGGTAACAGGTCATTGAAGACCATACTGAGACTGACATTTTCGAGGAGTTTTCAACTTTGGAATGTTTTTGGGCGCCAAGACCAAGATTTCGGCTAATTAGCCAGGAGGGCTTCCTTTGTCGATGAGTCAACGGCACTCCTCAGCGCCCTGGACGGTACAAAAGAAGCTAGGCTAAGCTACTATACAGCAATCACGCTCTGTCAAGACTTTTCTGATATTTCAGCACGACCATCTGGAAGGAGTTGGAAGGAGGCTAGAAAGGCAGAGTGTGAATTTCCCGAGGTACCCACAAGTCTGCAGCGTCCAGCTGGCCGGCCTCTTCGAACGCTTCAGAAGGGGCGCTGTGTCTTCAGATTTAGTCCTAATGTCGGTATTAGGAGAGCTCCGCACCCAGTGGTTTTTGCGATTTTTCCCGGCTGCCATACACCCGCAAATGGCCATCGTTTCGTTGGCTGGAGAGGGGAGATAATGAAAGGCTAAGGGCTCCTCTAAGTGTATGATCGAATAAGGACTTGTGAGGGGTGGTACTGTTTGAGGGGAGCTGTACGGGAGGCATAGGAGGGGATAAACTACTGGTATAGGTATACTTGGCCTGTAGGCAGAGAGGACCTGCATGTCCTACATAGTCATAGACTCAGACAGGACAGTAAAATGAATTAATAATAATAATAGTTAGTCACGTGGATTGGTGCAGCTTGACGTGTTGCCCTTAATGCTGACACGCCTGTATCTGAGAACAAGAATCACCACATCATCGAGAGACCCATTGCGTACGCGTACACGTGTATATTACCAACCGACAGAAACAGTCTTCAATAGTTCGTAGCGGCCAATTTTTTTGTTTAACAGGTGTTATTATCACTTAATTATGTATATGTAGGTCTGGAACCAATATAATGTAGAGCACACGCCTGGTGTCTTAGGTAGTATTACACTTGTAATCCAGTCTTCCAACAATTACCTTACCGTTAGTATTTAGGTCAAGTAACAATCATTAATCGTATACACCTAGTCTTTATATACGGACCCGAATAACTAACCCAATTATAGGACTCTATGTTCACTTTGCGCCCTTTCATGGGTTGAAACATCATGTTATTTACAAATTATGTTCCAACCAAATCTAGATATGCATAATTACCGTGTATCTTATTCAAACTTAATGAAATTGTCGTGTAGATGTTAGTTTATTTGGTTATTTAGAGCTTGTGTGCTCTGAGAAATGAATAGTAATTTCATATCGTGTCGTAGACTACAGCCTTGGAGTGTCACTGAATCTTATCAGAAAAAAAGGCAGTGTGCCTATCATTTGATACTACATGCCTAGATATTCGATGCATGTGGAAGTATATTTGAAATTATTCGTCACAAGTAGGCTTATACATTATCGTCGTAACATACTATTGATAACGGTTACTAAAGTCTTTCAATTTTAAAATTGCCCTACCTTGCTTTTATACCTAGTGGTTGCTGAGACAGCAAGTACATTATTCTTTATACTGCTAGTAGCGAGGTGGTTGAGAACTGAGTGATTAGGCATGATCAAAACACTGTTATCGTCCTTAAGTGGTGTTGCTGCATTTAAAATTGGCTTGCCGAGGAAGCCAGGTAAACTTGGAGGCGTTGGTAGTTTTTCAATCGCCAAGGCTGCATTTCTATACTCGATAGAATCCTCCGGCTTATCAAGGTCTATTATATACTGAGGTATTTGGGATGTATATTTATCATGAGAAGGAACTGGTTTAGATTTAGGAGCCTTTGTTGTAGTAACATTTCCTAAATTTTTCGACTCAGATGGAATGGAAAGACTGTGAGAATCTGGTGACAAAGCTCGATGGTCTTCCTGTGTATCTTTTTTTATAGGTAGTGGGGTATCATCAGGAATATCGTCTGCACTAACTTCAATATAGTTTACCAAATTATTGCCAAAATCTACAGTTGTTGGAAGATCCTGAGAACATTGCATTACGGAGTCTTTGATAAAGCGTATATGATGTGTACCTGGACGAACATGAATGATAGCTCGAAGGAGTCCTGGATGATTTTCACTATAATACAATTATTACCCAGCGAAAAATGTGTGATCATATCGAGAAAACACGTTCTTATTGGGAAAACGATTGGGACATATCTGCTTACACTGGATGGAGTCGATGCTTCTTATTCCACTGGAAGATTGTACCTGTTACATAAACTTTTTCGCCACCATGACGCCATTCGAAGGTGATAGGTACGGTTGCCTTCGTTCTGTCTACCCGCAACTCCTCAACGTCTTCTTCATCTATGGTCGTATTACTCAGTCCAGAAGTACGACGCGCTAGTGTATCATTTTCTAGTGAACCAATATCTTGAAACGGTGTCTCTAGGTCTGTGGGTGCAATTATTGGCGATCCTGGTGTATGTACTTCTTCCTCAATGGGAAGAGGAAGCCTTGGAGGACGGGTAATATGGTAAGACATATCCTGGAATGTTGAAGGGCCAGATGTTTCAAATGATTGTATAATCGAACGAGAGACATCGTTTTCGAGATTTGTGGCGGGTACCGGTACATCTACAGGCTTACTTGGTTCATCAATCATAGCGGGCTTTGGATCTTGTTTCATCCCTACCGATAAATCTTTTCCCAAGCCCACAACATTTGGACTTGGACAGACAGGAGACTGGTTAGTATGGGTTGTGACTGACGCATGCGAAGAGCTGGGAACACGGTGTGAAGTTTTTGCGATTCTGCGAGTTTGAATTAATGATGGCTCAGCTGGTGTTCTCTGTGGATGAATCAAATTTCTAGGATCTCTCCAATTCGATGGAGCCCGCGGTGAGTCTTGGGCCGATGATGAAATAGAATTGGAAGTCGGCGACTTAGAGCTTGTAGAGGGATTGTTACCCATTTTAACTGCTATTGTTCAGTGAATAAGTTATTCAAGAATTAATCTTAGCCAGTTTTGCATCACGTTTTTTTCGTACTCAATTAGACGTTATTAGTTGGCAGTTGCATCACGAGGCTCCGATGGTCTTCGAGAGCAAGTTAACGTCTGGTAACTTGATTGTTAACATTGGTGATGTAGTCATTACTCCGAATTGTATCCCGCTTCCTGGCCCATGATATAGTCAGCCGACCCCACCTTAACTTGTGTACCCCCCCTGTTGACGTAACTTCTATGTCGAGCAAGTTCCAATAACAGACGTCTCAATGTATCACAAGAAGCATTTTTACTAAACTGGAACCAAACTTCTGAAAATACCGAAAGAAAGATGGATGTATTTGTGATAGCATACTTGATTTGCTGTAAACTGGGTCTTGGTGCTCTTTCTATTATGAAGATTATAATTTCAACGGCTTTTATGATCCTTCCTTATTTCGTTTATTTTGGGTCCTTTATTATGCAAGGTCTATATATTCTCCTAAAGATCCTAGCATATCTTGAGGTTAAGCGTAATTCAAACACGTCGATTATCACTAATCTTCTGCAGACCTTTTTAATTTGTCTAGGAGTTGCTACAATTATCGGCATTTTAACTGGCTGCTTTCTGTATTTTTTTTCGAGTATTCTCATCTCGCGTTTTGGGCCAGGAAAATTTCGTGGTTCGCTCGAAGGAGATTCAGTATCCTTGCACCGTACTACAAATGCAAGTTGTGACTCAAGAAAAGTCTGGATATACTCGGGATCGAAGGACCCGCCAAGAGTTTCTCTCGAAAGCACAGCTTACACAAATAATGAGTCACTTTGCAAACATAAACCAAGCTTTGTTCATGATACTATCATCGAAGAGAATGAGTGTAACTTTGATGAAAGATCGAGGGAATCCCTCAGTTTTTGATGCTCAGGAAATGAAGCCACGATCCTACAGTGCTCACATTAAATAATTGACAATTAATCTCCCTCAACGGAAATTATTACTTCAAAAATCTGTTCATACAAAGTAACCAAGCTTTGACCCATTAGTGGTATTGCTAAAGAAGAATTATGATCCTATAAAAATCGGACCTCGGGATTCTAGCAACACCTGAAGTGAGAAACCACTTTTTACGGAAATAACTTCATTGCTTGGAGAATCTCTGGTCATTGAATCTGAGAATAATTATTCCAGTGTATGATCTATGACTAGACTATTTTCCAATAATGTGCAAGTTACGGATTTAATGATCAATAGCATCAAGATTCTATGATTATCCTCAATATTCTTGATCATCAGAAGCCTTGGGATAATTCCTGAAAACAGAGTATTGAGAGAAGTGACCAAAAGCGCCGATAGTGTTCGCGAAACTCGACCCGATTATTAAAATTGGTTGCTTCACCTAAATCAAATTCTCATTTCTCGAACATCCCTCCACCCACTCAAAATTAAAGTCATCGTGTCGATAAAAATAAATATGAGGAAGTTTCCACGAATATATTTGAACGGTTGGGACATTGCTAACATCTAAGCCATCTAACCTATTGTGGCTGACTCGTAGTTCACTATACTTTCAAGAATAGAATGGAGCCCGGCGCTGAACTACTAGGCTTTCACTGGATGCTACAATATCTAATGGCAGAATTTACACAGCTACCTGCAGATAACCTTAAGTGTGCATTTAGCTACTTTCAATACTAACAATAGAGTCGCATAATCCAAACTCAGCCTCCAAATCGTACTTATTACACAACCCCAGTCGGAGTAATCAATTATTATCCCGAGATCCCTAAAAGGTTTATGAGCAAGTTTAGAAGATCAATCATGTGTAGAAGCATTGCAGATACAAAGCTGTACATCTAAAACAGTAATAAGGATTATTAGCTAAATTCTTACAAACTTTGTATAATTGCAAGGGTCTCATTCAAATTTTAGCTTACATTTGAATTTGATTTCATTTAGCCCGATTTGGCGCCTTAAAGCCCACGCAGGTGTCTATGAACTCTAATATCTTTGTAGGAGAAAACCTTTTTGGTAAAAACCCCCTCAACTTTTCAATTTATATACACTTTAATGTTGTGTTACCTTAAAAAAGTGCACTAACACTGGAACAGTTTCGACTGACGCTTGAAGTCGAGGTCACTATGAAGATGAAAGAGGAGAGTAGGGGAAAAGAGGATCCCCTGCTAGTAGCAATGAAGTGGACGGTATCCGCACTGGACATAACAATCTCCCTTCATGTTGAATCTACTTTGTAATTCTTGCCACATCTTTCGGGTTATTCATCAACGCCTCAAATGACCGAGACTCTGCCTTTCTCAGTATCTCCACTCTCCCTTCGGCCCAGTTGGAGCAAGCCATGATCATATGCTTGACGTTCTGGGACGAAAATCTACATTGGCATCGTGGGCTATCTACTCCGGCAACATGTCTTCTGTGCAGATAAGAGTTAAACCCACTGTGATCACTTCTTATCTGCATGGCTATGCTACTTTGGGCCCTTTAAGCTTATATTGTGATGAGCGATTACGCCCTCACAGCTCCATACATGCAGTGAGCAAGGCAGTGTAGATGCTTGAACATGAAACACCTAAACGTGACGTGAATGCCAATCTAGTCTTGGCACTGCTCAGCAAACACTTACATCCCATGTTTTGAGTCATTTTAATGTGTATGCAGCTATTTAGTTATGACACATGACCGGTGCTATGTGTACATATTGGATGACTCTTATGACGTTAGAGACACTCATACTCTGGATTTCATTCGCAAATACCACTATGAGGTATGCCTGCTTACACAAACAGTCGACCTACCTCCGTAAGTACCCACCAAAGGGAAATTCAAAACCTTTGATTGTCCAAGTAGACCTTCGTCATTCATGTATACCAGCTCCGGGAGGAATGTAGTTTGATTTTGCAGAATTTGAACCAGCGATCTACTGTCTCGAGTGGGATGTGTCCAAGCTATCCAGACTGTACTTGGCAGGCCGGCCAAGACGATGTACCACCGCACTATCCAACCATAGTAGTAATTACAGTGTCACCTGCACTCTCTGAACCGAAGGAGGACGAAGGCTGAACACCTGTCAGTAGTGTCCTCTACGAACTTGGGAGTGAAATATTCTCCCAGAACCGAGATTCAGTCACGACAAAGGGTGATTTCGAGAGTTTTCGTCAAGTTGGCTCATTTTTGGTCGAAAATCCGACTTGCAGAGATTTCACGACTGCACAACTCAACGAAATCAACCATCTACACCCCAGATACGAACCGCATACAGCCTATAACCTGTCTGATGTTCGTATTACAAAAACCGACAACTTCAACATCTTATTTTCTTTTTCTCTGGAAGATCTTTCCCGGCCAAACTCATCTCGCGGCCCTCTCCACAATCATCTCACTACCTACCGAAGCAATCCCATACCTCCAAAAGTCAAATCGCCAACAAAAAAGCAAGAGGACGTCCGACCCTCCGTAACTGCCAGATGCTGTGAAGGTACGGTCGAAATACCAGCTTTCAATGCGTCCTCACCTCGGCCAAGGGCACCAGCAAGTCGACCTGCGACGAATCGCCACCGACAAAATTTGTACGAAATTTCGCCGGCACACCAAATAGAGCGTTTGACAAAGGCTGGGGCACCGGTGCCTCGGTCTCGATCTCTAAGCCGCATTTTCGACCTCCACGGTTAGGGGTATGGCAGCTACGGTGCAAGGCCGGAGGGGTGGACATTCTACAAAGTTTCTGGTATGACGAGGCTGGCTAGGACAAAGGGAATATAAGCTGAGAAAGCCTTGGTGAGCGACTGGAGGAAGCCTTCAATGGAGAAAACGCTCCCTGGATGAGATGAGGAGGTGCTGAGATGAGCCACAGCTGGGACTGAAAGGAAGGGAAAAGTTACAAATGGCGAAGGTCTCTAGGGCTCGGGCGCGTGGTTGCCGAGGCTGCGGAGGAATTTGCGATTCGGCGCATCAAAAGGGGGTTTTCTGGTCGGTTAGGCTTGACACGATTGAACACAAGGGTGAAGTCTGAGGTGGTCCAATCATTCAGGCGGGCGAGGTAGATGTACTTAATGGTAGTTAACCTGATCCAGCCCGGCCCTACACGTGCTGAAGCTCCAGCAGGTGTGCAACGGGAATCACTTCACCTAGCATGTAAATGAACAAGACAAGACAAGACTCTCTGAACAGAAGTCTTTGCGCAAGCACGAAGCTAATTTCGTAAAACTCATTGCCAGAATTCTGTATTTCACACCCGTTGAGATTAAAGTCACCCCCTACAACATCTTGTGAACTTGTCCTGATTCCTCTCACCTCCGTCCCAAAGCACTGTCTCCCAGATTTGTGCGCCACGCTTTGCTCCCTCCGTCGGGTATAAATATCGACGTGGGCATGTATTCGGCGACCATCTGAGGCCAGAGAATAGTCGACGAGAGGTGTGGTCATTAAAAGGAGGATGTACTAAGTCGTACCTGTAAGATTGATGAGGTCTTGGTGATAATCTATCTCGTTGGGTGGAAGAAATTGTTTAGGCGGAGTAATTTGTATCATTGCCCCGTGGGCCAACTTATTTTATATTGCGACATTTGCCTGAACCTGGTCTGGGAGAGTATTTCACTCACAGATTTGTAGAGGACACCGCGTATAGGCATTCAGTCTTACCCTCCTTCAGGGATTTTACAGTTTAATGTAGATCGTCAGTTTTCCTTGTTGAGATTCGAAAGTTGATATTACCCGTCTAGCCACATTTGAAAAGCCTTCCGCGCTGACCATGCATCATCCCAATTAACTACTGCCTACGAATATACACACTTATAATTGAACTTAAGAGGTTCTATATCAAATCTGTTGATTCAATAGAAGAATCCAAGTTATACCTGAAATATATAACGTCCATTCTAGCAATCAAAAAGGCGCACTTTGCTATCTAAAATAAACAGTTGAACTTAATCGAGTACATTCGATTGTTCTTATAACTCTCGACGAAAAGGAGAAATATTACATGGGCAAATAAATTACTAGATCGAACATGTTTGACCCTACAATTAACTTTGATGATCTAATATCAAATATCTTCGGTATCCGAATGCCAACCCTGTTCTGGACAACACAAGGCGCTTTCACTCTAGTATTACTCGCTTTTCTCACCTATATTATTAACCAGTATATCAAGTACAGCCAATATTCGGAAAACGACAAACAAGTACGTAAAATACCACATTGGATTCCGTTTGTGGGACATTCTGTTTCGTTGTGTGTAATTACAGTAATACCCTTACCGTCTTCATATTTACTAACAAGTACTACGGCTTTTATGAACCAGTCAAGCTTTTGAACAGGCTAAGGTAAGCCAGCTTTTAAAGATATTCAAGTTATTTCGATAACTGAGAACAAGGAGAAATGAGAGTTCTGGAATATTTGCTCTTCAAGTTGGGGTCGTAACAGTCAATATTGCTTGTGATGAATATATCGCCAAAAAGATTTTGGCTGAGAAAGAGTCATCTTTAAGCTATGAACCAATAGCATGGAAGATTGCACAAAGGGTATATTGCTGAAGTCAAAATTACTTCAAAATTCCCTGATGTAACTAGATATCTGGTGTACCTCATCAAAGTAGAGAAAAGCATAATCTGAGTTGGGAGGTAGCCTTATTCCAAAAATTTCTGTACAAGAATTGCTAAAAATTGCCTTAGAATTATAAATCAATTTACCAGTACTTGATGAACAAGCCTCATGTGGAAAAAATAACAAAAAGAATATCACAATTACTCGAACAAAATATCCCGCAGATGGTTTCCTTCCTTGAAACAAGCGTCGATCTCCAACCATGGGAGCGATGCGCCAACGCTTCACTCGTATCACCCTACCAGTCAGAAATGTCTCTTATGCCTCTCATTCACATGATGATGGGCTATGCTTCAGTTTCAGCCTTATTTGGCTCCGAAATCCTCGAGAAGTATCCTGATTTGATAGAGAATCTTGATGAAATGGATAAGGGAATACAATATTTCTTGTGGGGTCTACCAGCTTGGCTCCCATGGCCTGGAGTTATGAAATCTCACATTGCCAGATATAAACTATGGAAATACATGGATGATTACGAAATAGCTCTGGATAACAAACTTAGTTGTAAGCCGAATGAGTGTTTGTGGGGCGATTTGGAAGATGTGAGTGACTTCATAAAGGCTCGTCATAAGTTTCTAAAAGGTATTTGATCTTAAACATAGGAATGTGTAAAAGGCTGCTAAAGAAATTATGCAGAGAATGGTTTCGATATCAAGGAGCGGGCTGACATCGGTGTACGTTATAACAAACCCGCTGAGCTTATTATTCTTACAAGATTAGATTCTCTGGGCTTCAATAGCCAACACAAATATGTTGGTATTCTGGTTCATCCTTCATGTTTATTCATCACCAGGATTAGTCAAAAGTCTCCGGGATGAGATAAACCTTTATGCTTTAGTAACACCTGGAATTACCATAGGAAAATTTTCTGAGGCTCCCAGGCTCTCTCTCAATTCAAAAATGCTCTCTAAAAGCTGTCCTCAGCTGAGAGCTGCACTTTTTGAAACACTTAGACTTCACAGTAGAGCTTGGTCTGTTCGAGCCGTTTCTGAAGATATTGAAATATCAAATAACCAGAAAGAACCTTGTTTTTCGCCATTCCATCTGAAAAAAGGCGAATATGTTGTAATTCCGAACAGCGCTCATATGCATGACCCTTCTTACTATAGGGACCCTTTGGTTTTTAAGCCGGAGCGCTTTCTTACCTACAATGACGACGGAAGTATATCAGTAAACGTAGGCGCTATCCGTCCTTTTGGAGGAGGGTCTAGTGCTTGTAAGGGACAAGAAATTGCAGAAAACGAATGTTTGCTGCTAGTAGCCGGAGTAGTTGCTTACTGGGATATTGAGCCTGCCAATGAAGTCTCTGGTTGGGTTATTCCCAATAAAGTTGGATCAAGCAATATCTCCAGACCAGCTCATGATGTCAGGGTAAAGATCAAGCGCAGGAAGTTTCCGTGGGAATAATTTTCTATATCAAGTTCATTATTAGACTCTCAATTACACTATTTTACCTTTTCTTTCGTTCCTATAAGAGTTAACAGCAAAGATATGCAAAAGTCATATGATTTGAAGGAACTGAGCCAGATCGAGAAGATAATTAACTATCAAGAGGCCTCACAAATTCATTTAACCATTTATACATAGGGACTTTGGCTTAACAAAAAATAGGGCATGACCCTCATCATCTATTGGCAAAAATTAAGCACAATAACATACAAATTTACTATTAGCTTTAAAGCTATTTTGATAGTTTTAGCTGTCCTTGATATTCATAGACTCAGTAGGGATATAAATTCTAATCTAATCTATTCTATTTGGCTTAGCTGTCTCTATAATTCCTTGTCGCCTCAAGCAAGTACATAAGGGTATTTTACTACCTTCTTCACGGCCCCTATATATTTATAGGGTTGGATGGTGCAGTGGTACACCATTAGGGCTATCCACCCGAGTTTGTTTATTTATTTCATTTACAACCTGTCTAAGTCCATGACTATTGTAGGATGTCGTCCAACCGAGTATATACTGGGTAGCTTGAACACCTACCCTATTCGAGACAGGAGAAAGATGATTCGAATCCAGTAAGACCCATACACCACACTCTCTCACGGTGATATAGTACTTGTAGGATGATAAAAGCACACTCGGATAGCCACAGGGTTTTCACGCTTTTCCCTGTGGTGGGTATGCACGGAAGAGGTTATACGCCGTTAGGGTTAACATCGAGTGGTATCTACAAATGAAATCTGAGTGTGAGTGTTCTAAACGTCAAATTGAGTGATCCTACTTAAAGTACATATCTTCCGATAAAAACCTGCATGGGCCTCAAGGCGCCAAATCAGGATATTGATTGAATCATTTATTTATTTTGAATTTGATTTCATTTAGCTCGTTCAGGTACCCTGTGGGCCCATGCAGGTATATCTAGCCATAATATTTACACAGGAGGAAACCAAAATCGGTGAAAACCCCCTAAAACTGTCTGTCTTGTGTCTATTAGTCTTCTGAGGTTTCCTACAGGAAGTGCGTTTACACTGCTTATACAGTGTGAATTCCGTCTTATCCTTGTCCACATCGTCTCATCATTTCGTCTAATGCTATTTCTACTTCTCCGGCAAGCCGAAATTGTTGAAACCAGCCTTTTGCCAGGATCCATTTTGTAATTCTCTCTATATCATCTAAGCTGTTCGTCATTGCCGTGAAGGACCTATCTTTTGCCTTTTGAAGCATCTTTCCTCTTCCCATTGCCCACTGAGGACACGCCAAGACCATATGTTTGACATTTTGAGACGGATATCCACACTGGCATTTTGGATTAATCACTCCGGGAACTTTCCTTCAATACCGATAAGAATTGAGACTGATGTGCTCACTTCTTATCTGAACTACAATACTGCATTAGACCCAGCAAAGGTTCCGACAGATATCTCAGGGGGTGTTTCTATAAGTAATCCTTTTTCTGCCTGTTGTCTCACCTGTATCTTTTCGGGTATTGTATTGTGATTCAATTTGTGCACGAATTATGTGTAAATTATGTCGATTTTTAAATCTCTAGATATCTTTCTTCTCTTGTTCTTTTAGTCTAGATTCTAATTAATTGTATTCCTGATTTGAGTCTTTATCTGATTCAAGTTGGTCATCAAGTGATCTGTCCTCTCCTGTTGTCAAATTGTTCTGTTAACATTTCTCTGATGATATCGATCCGTACAATCATACCGTGTGCTAGTAATTCTTATTTGTACTCAGGATTGCGATGGATAACAGAGATGGTTGGTGTCTTTTTTTTTTCTTTTTTCATCGGATTTTTATTGCGTATGCAGCTATCTAGCTAAATTACGCCTTCAGGGCTCCATAAATACAATGAGCAAGGCAGTGTAGGTGCTTGAACATGAAGCACCTACACGCGACATAAATGCCAATCTAGTCTTGGCATTACTTAGCAAACACCTACACCCCTTTTATTTTTTAGCATAGCTACACCCCATGCATATAGATCTCGCTGTAGCTACTCCCTCTCCTTTCATAGCCAATCTATCTTCATTTCCCCAAGCTGCCTTTCTACCATTTTCCCACCTCGTGATTAGCTACGACACAATATCAAAGAAAAGTACATAATAGATAACTCATATTACAAGAAGATTACTCATGCCTCGGATTTCATTTGCAAGTACCACTGTGAAGTTATGGTGGCTTTTTCTTCACCCCAAGTCAACCCTCATCCGTGAACATCCATACAGGGAATGTCTCAAAAACTCTGAGTTATCCAGACATGCCTCCATTATTCACTGATTTGTCTCCGCGCGAAAAATGGTCTGAGGCGTCTCCTTCCCAAGTGGAGTAGGTGCCCAGGCTACTTAAACTATACCAGAGAACACTACCAAGAGACGGGCCACGGCACCTTCCATCGTTTGGTTGTTTCTACAGTGTTAGCTGCACTCTAGCAAGCGAATTCTTGGCGCGCAAAAAGCTCAATTCGTGAAATCTCTCGCCAAAATTCGGAATTTCACTCCCTTCGGGGTTATATACTTCCTTTGCATCATCTTGTAAACTTGTCCTGATCTCTCTCACGTCCATCCCAAAGAACTATCTCCCAGATTTGTGCGCCACGCTTTGCTTCCTCCGTCGGGTATAAATATCGGCGTGGGTATGTATTTGGGTGGTCAACTGAGGCCAGAGAAGATCGGAGAGAGGTGTGGTCATTGGAATGATGATGTATTTAGTCGCAATTGTAAACTTGATGAGGTTTCTATGGAAATTGATCTAGTTGGGTGGCAGATTTTGATTTCGTAGAGAGTCTTGGATCATTGCCTCGTGGGCCAAATTCTTCGGAATTGTGAAATTTAACTGAACTTGGCTCTGGGAGTATTTCACTCCCAGGTTCGTAGAGGGCACCGCGTTCAGGTGTTTAGTCTTTGCCCTCCAATACAAGATTTATATACGCTAGTTTATTTATTAGGTAGAGGTTACAGGTAGAATGTGGGATAGATAATTGGATCCTTTTATGAAAACTTCGATTAAAAGCTCCTGTGCGAGCTATTATCCAAAATAAACTCAAGCCTAGCTACAAAAGCTTCCAAACCAGCTCCAGGGGCTCGACTGAAATCATAATTTTAGTGATCTTGCAGCTACTTAGGCAGTTTCATAGCTCGGTGATGTTGTAAACTGATTCGGGCACGTATTAGTCATTGAATATTATTTTCGGAGATCCCATGTAGATAGCGTTGGGGAAATTCAATTCACGTCAGCATCATGTACTCGTTATGAGATTTTTCTGTAGGAATTATGTTTTGAATCTTCAAACTTGGAAGATTATTACATGAAACAGAGAGCCTGTAGATATTCTGAAATAATTTTGCATTAGTTCCAAAATATCTCATATGGAGGTAGATAAATAACCAACAGCTTAACCTGCGTCTCTTTTACCCAAGCCTACATGTAATGTGTTGTAATTATAGTGCTTAAATTTATCAGGATAAATCTAGATTTGTTTCGACTCCTCCCTTTTATGTTTCCGTCCCAGGATCTTGAATGAATTACTACCCTAGCTTACATATTTTAACAGTACATGCCGCTCGTTATGGCTTGTTTTCTCAATTAATCCGGGTCATTCAAAATCGTAAACAACTCGAAACCTTACACTCAATTAGTAAGTCCAGAATAACCATTAAGATATCACCAAGATATACTTTACATATGCTAATACTTGAGCTAAACTGCTGTTCGGCTTATTTATACATGGTAGTTCTCATTGAACTTTCGGAACGATAGCCATACACGTAACCTATAGTTCACAATAAAAAGTTAGCTGAAGAGAGCAAGCACTACTTCTTCATCTATTGTAGAAATTTATGCAGTGATGCTTTTTGCGTTTTCAGTCAACATTGTATACTTAAATTATAATCTTAAACTTCATCAGATGACTGCCATAATCTGTACCCCTACCGTATATTTGGTGATGTTGAGAGTACTTATTGGATTTAGACATATAACTTTTATTCACATAGAACCTTTGTTGATTTTAATGTTGTGTGTTTTTAATGCCATAGTTTTATAGCTTTGTAGCGCTTTGCGATATGTATCGGTTAGTCCTCATCGCTACTTTCGACAATGAAGCCTGCCCTAACCCTTCTTTTAGTGGGCCGAGCAACTATACTATCTTCTTCATCGTCGCCTTCTGAACGTTTATTAAAATCCGTTTCGGTTATACTACTAACAGAATTTTTCTCTATCGAATAATTATCTTCGTCGTCTATATCCTTGACTTTCTGTCTCTTCACTCCTGTTGAATGATGAGATAGTCGAGCGACAGACGATTTACTGTCAAGATTCAGCGATTTATGCAGCTGAGTATCTTCATCCTCATTATCGAGAGAAGCTAAGCTTGACTGCCTTTTTCTTGACTTGTTTCGGAAACTATCAAAATCTTCCTCGACATCTGAGATAATAGGGATCAAGTTCTGATCTGATGGTTTTCCATCTACATTTGAATACGTATCGTTTCCGGCATTTAGTAGATCTTTCATGATTGCGAGTTTGGATCTCTGTCGTATTTTCTCCTCCCTCTCAAAGAAGGCTCGATCTCGTTCTTCATCGGTTTCTTCATCACTATCATGAACAAACAAGTTGCTCTTAATCTTTCGATTCTTTTCTCTTTCTCGTTCCCTTTTAGCAGCATTACGGGCTTCGATTTCTATATCAGTATGGTGAGTATTTATAACTTTCCTGAAATCGTCTTCTTTTCGAGATTTAAGCTTCTTTTTTGTAATTTCACCGGCTTCAGGTACCTTCTTTCCTGATAAATCATTGTGGCGAAATAAAATATTCTCCTCTGCATTATCAGAATCTTCATCATCTTCACATAGTCTTCTAGTACTGTTTCTAGATTTTATGGCTTTTACTCCTATGAGATCACCTGCCTTTTGACCATCAATGACACCTAATGGGCTAAGCTCTTCACTTTCTATTAGTTTAAGAGAATTTTCGATTTCTTCCGCTGAGACTGAGGAGGGGACTACCCATGAAGTCTTAGAGTCATTAATATTATCATTTTGCACAATCCCAACTAACTTCATCAGGAGTCGAAAGAGACCGTCTTCATGCATACCAATCTTTCGCACACTCGTATCTGGATTGACTGCTGTAAATTTCTTAGTTTTCCATTGAGATAGTCAATAGCTAAACTTACAAATCAAAGGAGCTTCGGATATTTCATTGCGAGGAGTAGCCGTTAAATTGCTTGAAATAAAATTTTCATCGACCGGTTGATCAAGCTTGAGTGAGATTTCCCAGCTTTTTCTTTCACTTTTTGCTGAGTATAGCTGCGATTTTAACCATTGTAAATCATTCTCCTTTTTTTCTTCCAACATGGCTCTGACAACGATAGAGATCTGCTGCTCCCAAGTCTTATCTCCCTTCACTTCGAAATCAACAATAGATCGGGGCTTAGGAGTATAGGTTTGCTTTGCATAACCATATTCTAAATAATAGGCTGTACTGTTCGTCTTGGAAAAGAGCATTTCTATGAAAAGCTCAGGACGTTCTCGAATTTTACGGATACATTTTTTCATAATTTGACGGATAAGTTCATCCCATTCCCGATAGCTGCTACTACTTTGATCTAAGCTGTCTGGACCTTTAATCATTTTGTACAGAAGGGCTATGATGTCCACTCTGAATAGCATGACGCTCATCTGATCCTTAAAGGCAATTCGATGGAGAAATCTATGCGCCCGTTTTAGTTGTAATGGATTTAGATCATTATAGTATGTGGTGAATGAGATAAAAGTATCAATACAGCCTTGAGTTGTGAATCTAGCAGAGAAACGTTTGAAATCAAACTTTCGATCGTGAGAAGCTTGCTGAGGCACTACTTCATTATCTTTTTCCGAATCATCAGATTCTATCTGTCCAAGTTCATTTTCCTCAGTCAATTTATCGACTCTATTTTTACGTCTTTTCTTTCTTTTCGACCTCACTTGTAGATCAATATTCTGTTTAGAGTATTTTTCCAGTATCCGGAGATAATTGTGAGCTATATCAGTGATGGAATCTAGGTAGCCAAAGCCTTGGTCCTTGTATGTTCTAGTTACACTGGCAATCAAATCATGAGTAATTTCTTCATAGAAAATTCGATTGAGAATATTTTCCGCAATTTCCTGATCTTGTTCGCATGGGGATTGCCACATATCATAGACTGTGAGAAGAATTTGGCTGAAACATTTTAAAGAAGCGCTGAGTTCTAACCATGACTTAGATTCAAAACTAGTTGTCATGAATCTATTAAGCGTGACAAACATTTCTTGGGTAAGAACGCTTGCAACAAGAGAGAAATTTTCCGAGTTCTGGAGTGAAGATATCTTAGTACCCTTAAGGTTTACTTTTCTGGCTTTTCTGAATCTATCAGCTTGGAGGAACCAATTTACTAAGTAGAAAAACTGTTTCAGATGGTAATCCATGATACGATCTGTATCTCTATCAATAGCTCTTCGTATGTGATCGAAGAGTGGGTTAAAACTTGAATCCAGAAATTCTTCCACGAATTTCCGCAAATGTTTTGTCGACGACGTGCTTAGTACTTGCGGGGTGTAAAAGTTATACAGACCATTTTCTAATTTTGGAATTCTTCGGGCTGGTTTAAACCTTTTAGTACTGTCCATTTTGGCAAGGCTTCGGCTGCTATCAATAACGGCAGTCTGACCAGATATAGTCGTCATCCTAGCATCTTCTCTAACCATCCATGCCATGGTGCCAAAACTATTGTGCCTGGTAGGCGCATGGGCTTTGTAGCTGTTCAGCATTGCGGCCTCTTTCTTTCGTAATCTTATCATCTCTTCAATCTTCTCATTTTCTGCTTTCTCTTCTTCGAAGAATAGTTTTTCTGCGTCGATACCCTTAAGAAGATGGAAAATAATGTCCATAACAATAACATCCTGGGAGTCAAAATCCTCGCCCATCATAGACGATACAGTAAGTATGAGGTGAAATACATCTTGGTATTCAAACGCATCGATTGTTGTAGAGCGCGAAATTTCTGCTTCGTCTGCATCGTGCTGGTAATTTGGTGGTGGTGCAATCATAGTGATGTTGCGGATAAAATACAAGAGAAGCTTGATGATTCCCTCATCTCGTGCACTCCTGTCTTTTATTGATTCTGCCAATGATGGAAGGGCGCATCTAATGGCAGTGTGAAGTATTTTTGCTCCATCAAAGTTAATGATAGAGCTTTTATATTGAAGTTGAGCTATTTGCAAATAAGGGATATGTCGGTGATGGTTTTGGGACATCTGCTGAGGATCCTTTTCAATTGGCCATGTCAAGGGAACAAGTAGCTCTAGGCATGCGAGTGCTACTTTTGATTTTATTTTGTCTTCCGTCGCATTCTCTGGCCAGGTCGCGAGAATTTGAAGAAGATCACCTCGTACAAGGTTGGTTTCTGCTATACATCGTGCCACGTCGAGACGATTTGCCTTCTCATCATAGAGTTTAAGCCATCTCTTGAGATCCCGAAGACAAGCAAGTGCATCGTCTCCTAATACGTATTGACCGGATTCGTCGGTGCCACTTCCTCCGAGCTAAGACGCGTCAAACGTGTGATGGACAGGGCAGGGCAACGTACCTACAGCAGTTACTAAACTCGACACATAAGCTCTAACTTCCGGGTCAATAACATTCTTTATGGCATCGGTATTATCCATTTGGATGACAGCTTAACTGCCCTTGCCGAATGCTGCGGCAAGGCCCATTGTGTTAGTCAAGTGTGACGACGATCATCAACGAGGCTGGCTAATTCCAAGGGGGCTGAAGCCATCAGCCGTAAGTTGATCCGACCTTCAAAAGAGACGTCCGCAGTAACATCTTCAGAAAAAAGAATCACCAATCACAACGAAATAAATGATGAACGCCGCTAGATTTAGTGTTCATGGAGCAAAATGTATCCGACAAAAGAGACATCTCAACTCCCAAACTCGAGAAGTTAAAAAACTAGGTGTTGTTGGGGCCGGCCAAATGGTATTGTAGTTGGAAAACAGTCAGAAGATAACTGAGATATTTTCAGGGTCTAGGAATAGCACTAGTTGCTGCAAAAGTAGCAAAAGTTTCAGTTACATTAGTCGATAACAATAAAGCTTCCATCGACAGAGGCTTGAAATTTGCGGGTAAGGCACTTGCAACGATTTATTTGAACGAACAGTTGTTCTAAAATGGATTACACAGAAAAACTTCTTGCTAAGGATATCTCAAAACAACGTATCAACCAAAATCAAGCAGATGAAATATTTTCTTTAATTAAACCCACTCTCTGCATGGACTTGCTTGCCGACGTTGACTTCGTGATAGAAGCTGTTCCTGAGATTCCCCAGCTCAAATTCTCCATTTTCGAAGCACTAGCACAAATATGCCAACCACATGTAATTTTAGCCACAAATACATCCTCAATTTCAGTAACACGCCTAGCGGCAGCAACTAGCAAAGTTGGGGCCGATACGAATGTTCCTTCTCGTGTTATTTCTACGCACTTCATGAACCCAGTTCCCATTCAGAAAGGTGTGGAGATTATCAGTGGTTTACAGACTAGCCAGGCTACCGTCGAAAGTGCTTTTCTCTTTTGTAGAAGCATGGGAAAGATACCGTCGCAGTCTCTAGATTCCCCCGGGTTTTTAGCGAACCGAATACTTATGCCATACATTAATGAAGCGATTATTTGTCTCGAGACTGGTGTAGGTAATCGAGACGATATTGATGCCATTATGAAAAATGGGACAAACGTACCCATGGGTCCTTTGCAACTAGCTGATTTTATCGGTATTGATACATGTTTAGCAATCATGAAGGTACTACATGAAGAGACGGGTGACTCAAAATACCGACCCAGCGTACTACTCAAAAAAATGGTCGCAGCTGGCTGGGTTGGCAAGAAAAGTGGTAAAGGGTAAATTTCACGTATGATGTTGCGTTTCTCGGTTAATAAGTAATCTCGCAGATTTTATGATTATTGAATTAAAACCGGGTAAAGAAAGATCCATTAAAAGGATATTTTACAATAAACTTCACCTCAAAGATAGTCATTCGTTACTGACAACATGAATTGCTACGGCTAATAGAAAGGATTAACAAGATAAAAGGTAAAAATATTCCAACTCTGATTTCTCGCTCGCTTTCTGAACTCGATTTTTACAAACGAAATTTTGCGGTCTCTAGGTAAACAGGACGCACCACTTGCACTCCTTTAACAAAAATTTGTCAACAAAGACGAAACTGCACCAGTCTGCAAATGTTAAGATGTTATGCACAAGCATAAACCAATTTTTACCCTGAATTTTTCCTGAGAATGCAAAATCAATTTACATGGCCACCAGTTAACTTCAAAAACCAACAAACACAGTTTTCCACCCCCACTGTTAGAAATCTATATTCTTTTCGTCTTCAATGAGATAATATTGGCCAACCCAAGCATAAGCCGGGTGATTGCGAAGTAACCATAGCCTCCTACCTCTCTATTACGATCCTCTAAGCCCTCCAAAGCCGCTAAAACTTCTCTGAGATCAGATGGGCTCAAAGTTGTTTCAAACAAAGGTGCGTTCATTGAACTCGATTTTACTGGTGTCTTAACTAAATACGTATTTACTGTGAATTAGTGAAGATAAATCGAGCTTATATCTTGCTACTACAGATATTTGAATGGAAACCCTATGCCGTCCAAAATTTCAAATAAATATTGTAAGAACGGTTATAAGCAGGGCTGAAGGGAGAGAATTCGACGAATTGTTGCATATTCCTCTGTTTTATAATGCCCTGATCATCACACCTTTACACAATATAACTAGAATTTTACGAGTTATCGTGCTTTAAAAAACTTTCCAACTGATTTATAGTGATCATAAGTCTAGATTTTCTTTAGATGAATAAGATTTTAATCGAAGGTATTTTGAAATATATTTTATTCTTGCCACTTGAATCCAGTCTTCTATCGCTTGGATTGAACAGACTGAATATCAAAGCCTGCATTAACTTGCTCAGGCCCGGCTGAGCTCATGGTGGGATCGTTGCTATTAATAAAATCTTGAGAAGTTGCCGCAAAAGGTGTAAGTAGCGAATTAACATAGCCGCCGGCGGTGAAGTTGTTGCCAAAAGAATTATTCCTACCTGATACCGTACATGGTGGATTTCCAACCTGGTATTGACGTTGGGATGGTCTCTGAGAAAACGTTGAAGTGGTATTGCGCAATTGGCCCCTGGACGAAGAAGGATTATTCTGTGCCATTAATAAAGGATTTCCTGGGGGTGGTGGAAATATTTTCACAGGTGAGCTTCTAATATTACTAGTATCTAATCACTCTTAGCAATAATTTTCATAGCCATGAAAATTGGGGGGCTTGAAACTAACTTATAAACGAATTTATATCGTATTGATGCGAACTCAACCCATGAGCGTTGGAAAATTCTGCATAACCTAAAGATGACTGTCCGTTGCAAACCTGAGAATTAGGTTTTCTGGCTTGATGCTCAGGGTATGTTCGACTATCTTCACTCCAGGACACATCAACACTCAGCGGATAACGCATTGTACTTGGTCTTGTCTTCAACATAGACTCGCGGAAATTCATCGGTTGTGATCGGGCGTTATTGTGCGACTGGCTGGACTGGCCGACAGTAGAATAATTATGAGGACGTTCGTGGGAATTGGTAGTCTGTGCTACAACACTCAAAGAATTCGATAAATGATTGTTGTAGTATTGATCAGGTGAGCTTAAAGAATTTGAGGACATCACGTCTGGAGAGTTGATCGAAGTGATAGGATTAAATGCCATGTGACTGAAAACCGGACTAGGTGTTGAAGATAAACGTCCTTCTTTATCTTTTCTATATGTGTCTGACGTGATTGGTTGGAGGAGCGTCTCTGGATAAGATTGGCCTATTTCAGCTGTGGAATGCAAAGATGTTTCAACAGCATGTACAGCTCCATATGGTGAATGCAGGGCTTGAACGTTGTCAAAGTCGTCTGGTACAGCTCTCATCTTTATCATACGTTCACGATCGTCAGCCGTAAGTCGCTTAATCTTCGCTCGTCTTGGCCCGATTAGCATAATACTGTCAGATTTTAGGACTTCGAACCAACCTGTTTTGAAACCAGACCTGCACTTGCCTAGGACTTAGACCTGGTATTTCACGGGAGAGTCGCTCGCGATGTGCAGCATCAGGATGTGCTTGTTTAGCAAATTCGCTCATAAGAAATCGGGTCTGCTGATGAGTGAGGCTATGGATTGATTAAGCGCCATTAGAATTTATGGTAGACAATCTAGAATTTAGGATCTCACCGAAATCGCTTCATTTTTCGACGATCTGCCCGGCGTTCAGCGGTCATTTGCGAGGGTGCACTATTTTCTTCAAATTCAGCGTCAAGCATCTCATCATCATCCTCAATATCATATTCCTCGTCTTTTATCTCTATTTCAGCACCACGATCTATATTTCCTAAAGATTTTGGCTGTGTCTGGACGCTAATGGAAGATTCGACTTCAAGGGGAGTGAGCGCGATATCAGCTGATTTTTCTGGCAAGACCAATGGAAAATGAGCGGTGGATGGTCCGCCTAGGTCCAAACAGTCCCCTGGATTCCACCGCCGGTTATTATTGACAGGTTCTATCTGGGAATTTAAATCTAGTACGCCCAGAGTTTTCGGCCGTGTTTGTGTAGGCTGTGAGCTGGTCTGGTCCGGTCTAGAGTAGGATTCACCCGAAAAATTGCGCTGTTCGAATGATGTAGAGAGCAGACTATTCTCTCCTGTTGAAGGAAACACTGCGTACTGCTCTCGCCAGTCTGGCTGCGTCGTTAGTAGCTCAAAATTTGACATCCGTGATGAGAAGGTATTGTAAATGGCCTGAAGCTTGGTAGGAGACCAGGTTGTCCGTCCAGTGTCGCATTGCCGTGCCACAAGCATTGAGATTTATATTTACCAATGATTTTCCTAAAGATGGTAATGCTGTTTAAAGAAGTATCAATTTTGGGAGCCTCGCCCAATAGAGCAAAAAACAGAAAAAGTCCTAGAATTACATCCAACTATGGATAAGAGTAGAGACTTCTAAGAACTATTTTGTGATGATAAGTCCTGAACAGGGAACCGGCCTATCAATCAAAAGTAGGGCTGATGGAGGAACAACCTTGCTGGATCTGTGAATGACGATTTTTTGCGCCAAAATTATTTCTGGAGGCGATAAAAGTAATTAGCTACGACCGTGCCAAAAATTCCAGGCGACCTAGTTGAGACTCCGGGTGGGATGAATAGTAATCGACAAGAAAAAGGGTAATATGAACCTGAGTCGTTTCAGATGGTCGGTATCTAGAAAGCTCACAAGCAGTAAATGATTCGGCTGGAAGAAAGCTCGAACCGGTTCGCCTATCTTGCCAGTTGGATCAAATGATATTCATACAGCTACGCGGCGGTATTGGAGAGGAGAGGCAGAAGAGCTTAAGATTGAAGATCTAACCAAACTGATACGTGGGCACCGTTAGAAGAGTGGGGAAAGGTGATGTAGATTGTGGTGGAGAGGCCATCGAGCGTACAGGTGACCGGGGAGTTGCGAACAATATAATTACTGGAGCTGGAGGGGGGCGGAAGAAGAATATGCAGGCGGAAGATGAGTCCACCCCCTCCCTCTTCGGATCTGATGCCTGGCAGGAGATCACCGAAACGAGTGCAGTGGAGCCGCGATATTAGCGGCTCAGGTTTTTCAAGGTGATATGGAAGGGGAGGGAGTCAAGTACGACGGAAAAGATGACTTAGTGTTTATGGAGAAGAAGGTGGAGGAAGGGAGAGGGAGAGGCGATTGTGGAGACATTAGGCTGGTGTCAATAAATCAGGCGTCGGAGTTGTCTATCGAGGAAATTATGGTAGTTGCAATGGTGGTTGTGATGGCGATGAAAGGGACTAGCTGGTGGCTGCAGGGGACATCACCCATCCCTTCGAACTCTAGCCATCACAAGGGCCAAGGGCATAAGATGATGAAAGCTCCGGCCAGTCCTAGGTGGAGTGATATCACAAGACAAGATCTGACGGATTGGAGCTAGTGGTTCCAGCATGTCCCATTTCCGCGCTCTCCCATCCCTCCAAGCGAACAGGAGCCCGGGGCAGGCGAAAACGGATGAACTGAATCAAAGTGCTTGGCCACAGCTTTATCTAATATTGCTGGCGAATGTTGATTCGTAAAGTTTGGACCGTGGGAACGAGACAGATGTTGGGAAGGAAAGGGCATAAGAAATTGTCAAGTGAAGCAGGTATGGCCGAAAGAGGCAGCCCTAGATTCGCGAGGAATGTCAAAAGACTCAAGGAAAGGTTAGACAGGCCCAATCAAACTTGCTGGCGAAGAATGCACTGCTGAGCTAGACGCGCCTAAGTTTGATGAAATCCACTAGACCCGTAGAATTACTAGAAGAAACTCTGATGGCACTGTCGTGACAGTATACAGTGACGAGAATGGTGCCTAGGCCAGCGTTCACCCGCCCATGTTCCAGGTGTCGTGAGTGCAATGCCACAACAACTCATAGGTTACTGGTTATGTTGAGAGAATGATGGAAAGATGTAATACAGCTTGTCCATCATGTAATGCCGCTCGAGCAACCTTAGCAAGGGCATATTCCCGAGATATCAGCGTGCAAAGGAAGGAGGTGGTGTGAAGGTTTCCTCTTCTCTATCCATACCGATCTACGACTAAAATTTTGGCAGAAGATAACCTTTGCGTCTACACTGTCCATCTTGACCTTCATCCTCATCATCACCACATCCGGAAACTCACCTCAACTTCGATTATCGCAAACCTCAGCACCCTATACCCTTTCCGCGCTCACAACGCTTACCATGGTGCACCCCGCACATCAAAGTTGCGCGGTCCAGCGCATGATTATGGTCGCTCTTGATCTCACTGAATTGCTAGCTCAGGTTACAGTGAGGGACAGGGACCTATGCATCACCGGAATAGCACAGCGTCAGGGAATTTGGAGGCTGGATGGCGACGGCACGGGCTATGCAGACGATGAGCAGTGACATCAACGCATGGCTCATCGTCCAATGTCCCCTCTGTAGCACTTGAGATAGGAATGCGAGGGCCACAATTTAAGATAGAAAGTTATGGGGGCCAAGCGCGCGCTAGAACAAAGCACACTGCCAAACTAGGCGAACGGAGTCATGATTTAGTCGCTTGATTGAGGGATGGCGAGAAATATGGAGCCCTAACGAGTCCATCGAGAGTCTCTTGTCCTTCCCATTTCGGAGTGGTGGAGACTTGGCGACCTAAAAGTCATCCCGCAATACCAATACGACGAGGAACTATATTCAGCGTAGGGATTGCTGATGATGCCGTGTAGGTACATTACTCAGCTACCCGGCTAGTCTGAAACAAGCACGGCAGGCGTGAGCCCAAGTTGTGCTCCATGTTTCAGGACCTACTCATTGTCGGTCCCAGTCAGACTCGAAGTAGTGCGCTTAGAAAACTTGAGGTGGCGTGCACAAGGCTACATGGAATGGATGCAATGAGTTATTAGGTGGAAACCAAAGGCAACCACTGATTAGATGGAAAGCGTTTACTCAAAAAATCCCAGCTGAAGCCACTAGCTACATAGCAAAGGCGATATCTAGATGGCTTGCCATCTCGCAGTTAAATCGAAGGCAAAGAGCCTTGACACAGTAACTTCCATCTGCAAGTCCAACCACTTAAATCAGCCCCACTTGGCCCTCATGACGTCGTTTTTTCGGAGATCCCGCTGGTATCTGTGACGCCTTCGCGGGAGTAGAGAGCCTGGTTAGTACTTCCTCGCCTCGCTGTCTGCGCCGAGCCTATCCATGAGCCTGGCTGTTCGGGTCGACAACATCAGCTCCCGACCAGAGATTCTAGATTCACACACCTGCCGGATAAGCTTGACCCCTGCCATTTGGGCGCAGAAAAGTTCGACGGGATTCCTGGAATGCTTGCAATTTCGCACTGCCAGGTACGCGGGTCACTACGCCAGTACCCTTGAATGAAGATGCAGGGCTCATACCGCATCGTACGAGCATCATTTCTCACCAGATTTATCAATATGATCAGACGCGTGAAGCAAGCTGAAGAGCGCGGGGTGTGGGTAGAATTTTCCGGATTAACATCTCTGTCACATCTGGCCAGCCCATATACTGTAGGGCTGAAGAGAAAGCTCAAAGGCCACCAGGCGTCGCTTCATACTTACCTCACCCCATTCCAAACACGAGCCGCCGCGACTACCGTGCCCCAAAATTTCCTAACCATTGCGAGCAGTGATGTTGAAATATGCTGCACGTCTCGGATCATAGGTGGTTGACATCGGAAGCCTAGCATAGGGTGTCGGAGAGCCCGCAGTGCACCCGTTTGGAAAAATCAGAAATCTGGTCATGATGCTATGCAGGGTCAATCATCCATGTCACACAGGCGGATCCTAGGTCGTACGAGACTGCAGCTGGGAAATTCGAGCCTCAAGTAGACCGTCGGCTAGCGCAGGTCTGTCGACGCCAGAGATGATGGCCACCGCCACCAAATATTCAAGGCGCAGGGAAGATTGGCGGCTCATTATGCCGTTGTGAGCCGTGTCCAACTAGGTGTGCTCGCTCGGTGACTTTGAGAAGGCTAGAATCTAAAGCTCGTTAGTGTCACGATGTTGTGACTTACTCGGTTGCTGGAGGAGCTGCCGAGGTGCGAGTACCACAAGACGTGTAGGCTTACCCAACACAAATACAACTCCTAGTCTAGCTAGAAGAAGCATAATCACGCTAGTCCTATGAGCCCATCACTACGGGTCCGCAAGTTTCTACTACACCATTAAATCTCTTGCGAGAATTGAGCATTCGACCCCCATATCTGTCCGTGAAATGCCGGCAAGATAAGACTGGGCGAGTAGATTACGTGAAGAGAGGTTTTCATCAACTCAAGCTCAAAGCTTCAATTATCCGCAGTCAAATATTTCTATCCAAATTCTCGCCAACGCGTCAAGCTCAGTTGTTCTGATAGGACCAGCGCAAATCAGGCTAACATGATAGATTTCTATTACGGCCAACGCTGCATCCCAAAATCTTGCACAAAAGTCTTCAATAGATTTTTCTCTGTTCGGAGAGTCAGTCTTCAATTCTAATATCTATCATTAAACCAATAGCAGATCAACAAGCGACTTGTTGTTCTGCACATTCAAGCATCTGCCCCAATCAGGTATGGGAAGATGCGAAAAATTGCGAATATTTAGTAGGGCAGCTTTTAGGATAGCTGGCGCCTTTCATTGTGATAGAAGTCTCACATTTCAACTCGTTTGCGACCCGGAGTGGCCACAGGAAGTCCGCTTCAACCCCAAGAATACTCTCAAGACATATGAAGATGGCAATATAAGTCGGTCAAAAAATGGTGTAGCGCACCATCGCATTCGTTTGATTTTCTTGTTAAGGCCTTGCCACATCTCTAAGATCCTCCGCTGAATGGAAGGATCTCTCTTATCTTGGAAGCGACATGACAAGTTTTCCCTTGGCATCTAAGCCGTGTCTCTGGTCTCATACCCTTACTTTTGTTACCAAAATTCCAGGTAAAGCTAACCTTTCCGACCTCTCGGAGTTCAACTCGCATGGACTTGCTATTTTGCCAGCCTTCCCTGAAGCTTGAGCAACACAGACGAGTCATCCCATCAATTTGCATAGCATGTCGATAGAGACGTTCTATGGCCAAGTGAACTTGGCCGTGCGCTCTATTCACCAAGGGTCACAGCTTGCTTACTCAAGAAGATTTGATATGAGGGGCGACAAATCTACTGCATTATCGATCAAGAACTACGCAACCCCGGAGCAAAGCTGTTTGTTGCAGAATAAACGTTCTGCCGCTTCCCTCTCAGCTTGCTTAGTGGTTCTTGTGATCTTCATATCCTCTTCCCTTAATATGCATGACATGGAGGAAATCACTA